CACTTATAACTTATAAACTATAATATTTATGTTTACTAAATACTTGTTTATAACAATTTTTTTGTCTTCAACAGTATTGGATATGCGAACACACAAGCACCATCAAACCCAATGCCAAAAATGCAATCCCAAGATTTGCTAAATGGAACATCACATGTTTGGGATAGCAATTGGCAAGTTCATCCTTGCAAGAGCTAAAAGATATTGTGGTATGCAATGCTAACCTTTGTTTTGTTTAAACAAATGATAGGTTTTCTTATGCAGTGATAAATTTTTGTTCACACTGATATATTTATTTAATTTGCCTAATTGAGTGACAAATTTCCCTTAATATACCTAATTGAGTGATAAATTCTTTTATGCAGTGAATGTTTTTCTATTTGTCTACTGTGCATGAGTTTTGTTTCATATTTATTTTATTTGTGTTACTTTATATTCGACTAGAATTGATTAGGTTTCTGTATTGATAAATTTATCCATAAAAATGAATTGAATTAGACATTTTATCTTATATTTACTTTATTAGCTTACTTTTGCTAATTCAGTGATAAAATTTGACATACAATGACAGGTTTGCTTACTATGCCTAGTTCAGTGATAAAATTTGCTATAACAATCATAGATTTGTTTAATTTTCCTAATTGAGTGATAAAATTTGCTATGAGAAATTTATCTCTGAAATTTTTATCATATCATTCATTTTTTTAATTTTCATCTATATAGGAGAACAATTTGAAGCACACAGATGAAGAGAAAAAAATATACCGAATGCTGCTAGGAGAAATTCAAGATAAAAATGAAGATGAAGATGAAGATGCTGATTTTCAGCAACAAAATCAAGTTGAAATTTCTGAAAAAAGAAGAACAGACATTGACTGAAGACAAATCCAAACATGAAACATGGGGACCAATTCCACACAAAATATGTCATGAAAAGAAAAAGAAAACAGTACCCTTTGAATCACAAAAGAGTGAAGGAAACAAAGTTGACAAAGAGCCTAAAGTGGATCCAAATCTGGTAGAAGTACTTGTTTTTTAGAGGATAGAAGACGACATGCTCAAAATGAAAAAGTTACAAATGGAAAGGGACATCCTTCAAACTGCAAATGATAACCTGTAGCAGTAACTCAACAAGCTGAAAAAGGAAATGCCAGATCAGCACAAAAAAAAATGCAAAGGAAAGATAAAGAAATCAAAATACTCTATGAGAGAATTGCAACATTGGCTGAGGCAGACAAGTACTCGGAAGAACAACACACACAACACCAGCCTGCAATGAAGAAATTGAAAACTTCAAACAAAATTTTCAACATCCTACCAAAAAAATCAAGGCAAAATCTCATTGCACATTGGGCGAATACAAAAAAAAAATGTAACAATCTTCTCTCTTGACTCCTGTAGTTCACTTTTGCCGACTGTTTATCATTAACTCATATTGAATTTATAAATATCAAATATTCCAAAAATATTAATAAATTTATTATTCCAACACTAATAACCTTTTTTTCAAGGATCAGCCAGTGTGGCAAGGATCTCACCATGGAACCTATGTCTACTTAAATGACATTGACAAAATATTAAAGGGTCAAGATTTGGCAGATATTGTAAGTTGAATTTGTAACTCATTAAAATAACATTTTAGTGTTTGATTTATATTAATTCCTTGTTTTGTTTTTTGTTTTCAACACAGTTAATAGATGCATATGCAGAACACTTGCTTACACAAGAACAAGGAACAACATCATTCGTATTCATTTCAAGTTGACATGTAAGTAACTAGTTTGCTTAACTGTGGACCAACACTTCTTTTGTTTTTTATCAGTGTATAACCTTTGTTTGCTTAACTGGATAACTAGTTTCAAACATATGACACTACCTTCCCTCTTCAATTGGCCCTATTTCCTAATTCAAAGCTTGACATGTGAAACAAAAAGTCAAGCAAAACAAACCAGAATTTCTAACTCAGATTTTGTAATCACTGTTATATATTTTGACCTTGTTATTGTGGCACCACAGTATGAGTAAATCCCAGACTTTGATTACAAATTCTGGGCACTTTTTTGGATTTTTGAAACTACTGCATATGATATTGAGAACTTCAACAAATATTGAGATATGTTGAAATTGAAATAGCTTGATTATATGCTATGATGTTGTAGGACATAGTTCACTTTCATTTTGTTAGTGGTGAAGCCTCATAGAGCTCTTGTTTGACGTAATTTATTAAGTAACGGACAACTTTCATTACAACTATGGAATGGAGAGAATCATGATATATATATATATATATATATTAGTATATGTGCACACTCACATGAGTGTACTTGAAATAAGCAATATTGATATATAGCCTGTTACAAATCATCTATGAATATTTACAGAATGAAAGAGAAGCACAGTATAGATATATTAGGGGATATAAAGATCCATTTCACATGGAGGAGAAAAAAAGGCCTCAAGACACCAATAGATGTGTTCCCTTTATATATAGTATAGATGAATTTTGCAATGCACTGATAAATTTTGATATGGATTGATAAAATTTTGATCACAGTGACAAAAAGTTTCATACTCATCACCTATTTAATTTGAAAAAGTTTAAAGTTAAATTAACATTAGTTTTTTTATTTATATTTGTTAGCACTTGTTGACTACAAAAGATGAGGAAGCAAGAAAGAGGATGCTGAACAAAATGATGCCTGAAGCCATGAAAGCAAGATACCTTCTCTTCCCAATCCACCAAAATTTTCACTGGACAATTCTTGTCCTTGACATTGAAGAAGCTTCATGGAAATTCTACAATTCGATGAGACTAAGGGGAGTAATGGCTAAAGATCCACACTTCAATGCTGCAAATGAAGTGGTAAAAATCTTTTCACTATCAAACTTACCATTAATCCAAGACATAAATCCTGATCCATGGTTAATTATACATCAAAAATTTATACAGTAATATATTTATCATTCTTTAAATCCATGGTTTCTCATTAATTGTTTCAACTGACTTTCTAATATAACAATTATACAAATATATATGTTGCAGAGAGAGATTATTGAAAAATACATAAAGGATGAGAACCCAACTCTCATTCACCCTGATAAGTTTCAACAGCAGACAGAGAATGTCATCAACAGCCCACAACAAGAAGACACATTGTAAGTTTATCAATAACAAAACACTGTTATTAAAATAAAATAAAAAAGGCAGCAACGAAACCAAATTATAATATTTTGTTTTTAAAATGTTTTTGTAGGCTTGATTGTGGAATCCTTGTTTGCTATATCATGAGTCAATATGTTTCCAATAACAACATAATGCCTACTTTTTTCAAGGAAGAATGCAATCAATTGAGAGCTAATATGTTAACTATCTTCTTGACTGACCAACAAGTTGCTCAACGACAAATACCTGATGAAAACATTGATGACTTGCCTTTGCAATAATCAACAGATCTGGAATAGAAAAAAACAAAAGGAAACACTGATTCGTTAGAATGTAAATATTTCATACATTTTGCTTATTTGCTTGTTACAGTGTTACCTGTATTTTGATGATTTTGGTTCTTACTTTCCTCCAATGAATATTACAATGCTTCGTTGTTACAATGTCAAAGTTATGGACAGTGCTTGGTTGTTACAATGTCAAAGTTATGGATAATGCTTGCTTGTTACAATCTCAAATTTGCTTCAATGAAACATTCAATCTTTTTTAGCCATATCGTTACCAGACCTGGCTTTTCATATCAGTCTTGTTATCCAAATTTCATTCAAAAAATTGATTCTAATCTGAGTATTTGTGTTGAATTTAAAGGTTATTAATAGGTTTGGAGTCACTATACTGATAAATTTATTTTTTATAGTGTTATGTTTACCCTGATAAATTTATCATTGTTTCAACAAATTTATCACTGTAAACACTGATAAATTTACCAATGTTCAAACAAAAAAAAACCAGCGACTCTCTCTCTCTCTCTCTCTCTCATTCTTTTTCCCCAATTCAAGTAAACAAAACACTATAAAAAATAATAAAAAATTTACCTAATTAAAAATTAAAACACAAGCACTATTACATTGTCCAAATTAAAAATTAAAATACTGTTACAATTTGTAGATATTCCCAACTTTGAGAATGAATGTAAGAACATGCCATCCTTGGTGTTTTTTGAATAATCAAAACCATTTGATACTTCAGTTAAACAACTCAAACACCCAAACCTAGCTTCTGAGTGACCACAAAACAGTATGCAGACTGAGAACTTATTGCTAAACTAGATAAACATGGTAGTTGATCTAAAATTTTTTGCTTTTTAAAGCAGTTAACACAGCAGATATGCAATTATGTATTCTAGAGATTTGATCTACACCTTTGTATTGTGGAAATTTTTCCTGAGAAAACTAGATAACTCTAGACAATGATAAATTTATCACTGTAGAAAATAACATTTGCTTGGATATGACAGCGATAAATTTATCAACCACTGACATAAATGTAATAAACCATCAACTCTTTCCACACAATAAATGATAAATTTATCATTCTTCAAAATAACAAAATTCAAGAATCACATTTATGGTAAATTTATCATTCTTACAAAAAAATAATCCATCAACTTGTCCAAACCAACCAGTGATAAATTTATCACTTTATAAAACACCAAAAACAGGAACTACATTTAACCCAAATCCAATAATATAAATTTGTGAAACTTAATCCTGTAAAAATATCAGCAAAAATTATAATTTCTGATCAACAAATTCCTCAATCATTCAATGCAAGTACCAAAATGATACATCTTTCCAAAAATACTCAATCATTCAATGCAAGTAACACCTCTCAACTCTCAAACAAAGTAATTCAATTAAAATCAATACAACTAAAGCAAAACTTCTTTACATGTCTTCCGATTATGAGTTCCCATCTTTCCACACCTACTGTATCTAATTCTCTTGATTTTGCCCTTAAAAGGTATTCTTTTCGTTCTTGGACATCCAGCTGGTCTCTAACAAAGAGGAGGTAAAACAACGTCATCATCAACAACTACATTTGGCTTCCACATACTAGGAACTGGATAGATAAAATGTGAATAAGAATCACAATAACTACTAACACGGTAGTAATCATCAAGAAAGCAATTCAAATCTTTCTCACTCCTCTTTATAGCACAAAAACCATGTTTGCAAGGAAAAGAATCAATTTCCCACAATCGACAAGAACAACAACGTTTCCCAATATCAACCATAACTGAATGATCCAATTGGATTTCATAAATGTCATTGCTACATTTCTTAACTATCCATGCTTTTGTATCATTAAAAGCTTCTTCTAACTTTTTCTCTGCAAAAAGACAAACAATACGATTCCATTTATTCCCAACTTCTCTCCTTCTTGAAAATTGCTTCATTAGTTTCACCCGTATAGCATCAACAAGACTAGTTGAAAACAAATGGCGTTCATCCCTAATCCATGAATTAAAAGATTCCGCAGCATTTGTGCACATTTCACCATACCTCTTGCCTTGAAAATAAACGTTACACCAACACTCATTAGGCAAATCCTCAAGAAACTTCTCAACACTACGACCATAACGACCCTTAAATTCTTCAAATAGCTCATTAAACAACTCAATAGTAGGAGCATATGCACTTCTATTAAAAAGAGTAAGCAAATACTCTTTAGATTCATGACTCTTCACTGACAAATAAGTCTTCAAGTTTGTCTTCAAATGCATTAGACAAAAAGAATGAGAAGAAAACGGAAAGACCTTAGCTAAAGCTTTCAGCAAACCTCCATGTCAATCAGTAACAAACACAATATCCCTCTCCGGAGTCAAAATACCTAATAACTTTGACAAGAACCAATGTCAACTGTCATAGCTTTCACTATCAACAATAGCAAAACATAACAGATATAAACCTACAAACAAAATATATATACACGTTATCAATAACAAATAAAAAAATTACAAAAAGAAAATTAAAACACAAAGTATATAACATATAGCACCAGCCATAGATAAATTTATCACTATATAAATATAAAAATTTAACAAAAGTATACAGCATAAATTTATCACTAATAGATTGACCATACTCAATAATCAGCACTCTCCAGTAACAAAAATGATAGAATTATCACTGTTTCAATAATAATAACAAATAGACACAAAATATACCTTGGTTACCATCTTTTGTCGTAGCAGCCAATAAACAACCTTTGTGTCTTCCTTTCAAGAAAGTTCCATCAAGCATCAACATAGGCCTACAATACTTGAAACCATGAATATATGCCTCAAAAGCGAAAAACAAGCATTTGAAATGTCTTTATTTACTATCAATATCAAATTCCATATCAAAAATACTCCCCGGATTGCAAGCATTAGCGGCATCAACATACCAACGAAGATCGTCAAATGATGATGAATAGTTACCAAAAACAAGACCCCTTGCTTTTTCAACACCCATCCAAGCTCGCCGATAAGAAACTTTTGTTCCATAATAGTCCTCGAAATCACAAACCACCTCACTAACCGATGTCAAAGCCTTATTACGAATATCACTTGAAATTAGCCCACCAATTATACTTGAAGTCATCCTAGCATGTTTAATTGTACGAAAAGGAGATCCATAAGTATGAACATCATCAAATTGTTTAATAACAAAAGCATTACTATAATTTTCCACTCTAGCATGCACGCTCCATAAACATCCCAAATCAGCCATTTTCTTACAATGAACAGTGACACGATCCTTATCATTCTTAACAAAATCAAAATTAAAACCGGAATGAATAGAATACTTTGACAACGCATCTCGAAATTCAACAATTCCTTGAGCAAACCTTTGTCCCTCTCCTTTCATACAATTAACCCACCCATCGGAGAGTAAAGGTTTCCGTTGATTTGAATAAAATGAAGGCAAAAAATCAGTTTCACAAACAACACTACTATTACTACTACTAGCTTCACCATCACAAATCATATAACCTTCACCCAAAGAACAACACTTTACAAAAACATCAATATGATGAATATCACAAGAAAGTGCCAGTCCAACCATAAGAAGAATGTCCAGGCATTGAATACGATATATTCAAAGAACTACCAACTAACTCACTCCACTTTACACACAATTTATATACTAAATCCTTGAAATTAAATCCATCATTATACTTGATAACCAATGTCACACCTCTAAACTTACACATAAGAAACAAACAATTCTTCATCACTATATATCATGCAACAAACAACAATTACATTTCAGCAAACAACTCAAACACCCTAAAACAAAATCAAATACAGTGATAAAATTATCAACCAACTCAAACACATCCAAAAACCAACACTGATAACTTTAACAGTTAACACCACCAAAGACCAAGAACAGTGAATAAAGCTTACACTATTAGACATGGTAACTCAATTTGAATCTTACCATTGCATTATGCAACATTTTCATCTCCTATTCCCATACTCACTCATAAATTTATCACTGTTGAAAAAGTTAATCCAACATCACCCCCAAAATACATAGTGATAAAATTATCACTGTATAAAATAACAAACTAACACCTGTGTTCAATCAACACAATTTCGTAACCAAAAAAAAATAAAAATCAATCAACAAATACATATTTCAAAACTTTCAATATCATGATCAAAACACAAATTCAATCGCAACAGAAACAACATAGTAACAACAATATCACCACAAAATCAAAATCACCAACTCAAACTAAAAAAACCAAAACATTGAAATTGAAATTGAAATCAAAATCAAACATACCAGTGGACCTAACTCCACAACAACGCAAATCAGAAAATGTAACTACACACCAAACGCGAAATCGCAAATAGAAAGAATCACCAAGCAAGTAATCGCAAATCACAAATCGCGAAGATACACCAAGCGCGAAATCAGAAATCACGAAGCTCCACAATAATACAGTAGCAAATCGTGAAGTTCCATAGAAATCCAAATCACAAACACAATATTTTGATGGAAAATCTAAACAGAAACGAGCCAGAACAGGAGAGGGGTAAAACGGTACAAAAAAAAGGCTCAGGACCTGTTGGTGCACAAGATCAAAACTCAGGACTAAAAGGGGAATAAGTGCAAAACTCAGGACCAGCCAGTAAAAAACCCTATTATTTAAGGTGATCTTGGGCCTAAGTTACGCTGTGATGGATTGGGCTGTCCTTGGGTAAGTCTCAAGTACAAAAGTGCGAATCTTGTCCGATCAAATATTGTAAATATATCAGTTCAAAAAATATATATTATGGGACACTTTGAGAAGAGGTTAAAAAAGTCAGCATTTTAGCTTTTTAGCTTTTTTAGTAATAAGAAGTTAGCTTTTTTACCGAAAAGAACCCAGTTTTTTGGCAAAAAAGTTAACAAAAAAGTCAAAAAAATTAAGAAGTTAACTTTTTACCAACTTTTCAAAACACCACTATATATATATATATGGATAATGCTACAAGGATATGAGAGGCATATATAAGTTATATTATTTATAAATTTGATTATCATAAATGACATAACTCAATACTAAGAGAGTCATAACCAAAAAGAAAAAAAGAAAATTATAAACAAACAATACATAAAATATAACAAAAAATTCTTAAATCATAATTAAAATAATGTCATAATTAATATTACAATAATTCATAAGTAGCAACCTAATATGTCATAACTATTATATAAAGATAAAATTTCTCTATATATAAATGAGCACGTGGCGATAGTGCAGAGCACTGCCAGTCGCTAGAGTTAGCTCATTGGTCCCTTCCCCTTTACTCCCTCGGATAGAGTTGGATTTGTCATTTGCATTTTATTTCAGTCATTCAATCCATTTAGGCCATGTTTGATTCACAACACTAATAGTGAGGTATTAATAATCCTATTAAATTAGTGTAGTATTAACTATCCCACCCCTACCCTATTACTAATAATCCTACAAATTTGTTGGATTAATTATCCATTGGATTAATAATCCTAAATCAAAGTGTCAAAACAAACATGGGATGATTGGGCCCACGGATTAATAATCTCAATCCCATGCTTTAGTCCTTCCAATCAAACATGCCCTTATTTTATAAAATTATTTGACGTAATTATACTTTGTATCCCTACACTTTATACCAAATCTCATGGACAATCCATTTCGAGAGAGACAAAAGTTTTGATTCTTCAATGAAAATGAATTAATACAATCAGGAGCAACAAGATTTTTACCATGCGTTTCAACTCCGGCCTCCCAAATCCCTTTAGAATCCATGAAAGAAGCTTTTATTTCTTGCAATTCTTAATTTTGGAGAACCTTGCCTTGTTATTTGACTCCATTTCAATGAAATGATTGATAAATACTTTCTCTCTGCCTTCAAAATTAATTTGCAAAACTTTTGCAGCTTGAAAACACTTGAAGATTGCCTACTTCACAAAACCTTTTATTACAGTTGCAAATAGAGTAGAAGAAGAAATTGAAGTTTCAGGCAAGATCATCAAAAGAAGACAAGGATTGTGCTTTTGAAATCTTTCCAAAACATCGTCTGGAAAGCTTAAGAGAAAGGCCAAAATCGTCTAATGCTTTATTTGACTTACACTTCATTCGGATTGAGGGGTTTAGTAGGAAGAGAAAAGAAATGGAGAAAATGATGTTTCTTATTAGTTGTTTGGATGATTAATAAGGTAAGTAATAGTGAAAAATGAAGAGAAATTGTGAGAAAGCCAAATTATACCAAACTTAAGTTTTGTTTTTCATCAAAAGTTGTGGGATTTGATGAAAAACAAAAATCACTCTTTTACACTATATTTGGTTGAGGGATTTGGGAAGGGGAAGAGAAAATGTTTGCGAAAGTAGATGAATTTTAGATATATGTTATTCATATTTTATTTACCTTTTCCATTTCTCTTTCTAAATTCATTCTCAAATCTCGCAACCAAACACAGTATGAATCATATTCTATTCAAATAAGATGGTGAGAAACCATAATTATTTTTATTATTTTCTCATAAAAATGAAAATTTTTTTTTTCTTTTCTCATCTCACAATTCAAACAGAGTGTTGGCCTTCTTGCCTTTTACATTTTTTGGAGCAATGGGCTGGAAGGGTTGATTTCGATGGCCCAGATGAAGAGGGTTCACAAATGTTAAAGTTGGCCCATTAAAATATTGACTTGGTCCAAATCAAGATTTTTACCTCTAAGATGGTGGTCCAACTTGTCCATAGGTAACAAGCCCATCTTGCAAGGAGGGAGAAAAATTCGCTACATGCATGACTGTGGGAATCCAAAGGGGGGGCTGCCCTTATTGAAGAACCCACCACGCATGGGTGCTCACAAACCAATAAGTTGTTGTCTCTCTCTGGGTTGTCTATTTGGAGAAATGCAACAAGATTTCAATTGTGCAGAGACTACAATAATGGTTTTCACTTTATTATTAATCCAAAATGATTTAATTTGATAATTATCAATTTTTAATTGGTTACTGGTTCAATAATATGAGCTCTATTATCCTTATCACATCATTGTAAATGTATTTATAGATATAAAATATGAATCTATAGCATTATTGATTCGACAATCACTCTCTTTGAATTTCAATTATATTAAAATTCCTGGACTTAACACCCTCTTGAATTCGTCAAGTAAAAAGTCCACACATATTGATCATTCTCTATGTTCTATTTTCAAGTTTTGTCTTAAAGAGTCACTAGTCTCTTCCCTTGTCTCTCTTTCTCTCTGTGAGTATTCTCTTATATCCTAATCAATATGCTAAATATTTGGGTGTCATTTGGTAATTGGGTTGGGTTGATTTTTTTTGGTTAAATTAGTTATAAAAAGACAAAATAAATTAAAAAGTTAATAAAATAAAATGTCACATTTAAATCATAATTATTTTATTTTTTTTTTTTTTTTTTTTTTCCATTTCTTTTGATCAGGTTTTTGTTTTCTATTTCTGCTAAGGGTAGCTCTTTCCTGGTAGCAAGACTTTGCAAACTACGCTGTTTTCCACCTGTGGCACTTGCTTGGGATGCTACATCAGGTCTTCACATATTTCCAAATTTGTATTCTGAGACAGTTATGGTGGATTCTTCACCAGCACTCTGGAGTTCAACTCAGGGGTTCGAGAAGACTACCGTTTTGTTACTGGTATTGTCATCTAATGTTTAATAAGTTTCCTGTCTTGTAATAACCATACAATATAGGATTAATACAATTCACAGTTCTATTTCTCCAACCTTAAAAATTAAAGGTTTTGATTTCTGCGTTTTCTGTCATATTTTATTTATTTATTTATCGTTTGTGTGTGTGAATGGGGACTAGTGATTTCAGTAATTTGTGTTTGCCACGTGTTCTGGTTTTTGCAACTAACTTCTGCAGCTTGTTGGGTTGTGCGCTGCTATCTGTTACATGGCGATTTGGCTTGGATACACAGACATGCACTTAATCTTTGGTGTATCTATGACTTTGGAGCATGTGTGGCTCAGCAGGGAGAGCTGAATAATCAGTTGAAGCAGTAGCTCTAGAAGTTCTAGGTATGCTATTCCAGTCTATATCTCTACCAATGATAGGAATCGCCACTTCTTTTGTAACTGACTTTAAATACAATAGTTTTATTTGTTTCTCATTCTTCAGATGTTCTAGCCAATTCGTATTCAAGCTTTGAAACTTGATGTTGTTGATGAATATTTTTTTAGATTGTGAATACTTTATTCATTTACTTGCCTAGTGCTCATGTTATAGGGCTGTAAACAAGCGAAGTCATGCCAAGTAGTTGGTTGCTCAAATTTAGCTTGAAAAATGAACAAGTTTCAAAATGAGTTCAAGTTTGACTTGTTTACCGTTGAAAATGTAGCATGATTTGTTCACATACCCAGCTAATCCCAAAGTTTGTCTCGTTTTATAGTATTAGATGTGTGTTCACTGAATGGTCTCAGTGATCTCAGCTTTTCAAGTTTTTTTCCAAGAGCTTTACACTGCTTTTGGTAGAACATGCTAATTTTTAATATACTGTTTCAGATATGAAGCATGGGTCATTTATAATTTCTTGGCATTGTGCCTGGCATGGGTGGGTGGACCAGGAGCTGTTGTGTTGAGTTTAAGTGGTCGGGTTTTGAAGCCAAGCTGGTATCTGATGACATGCTGCTTTTCTCCCATTCCATTAGATGGGTGAGTATGTTTTAAATTAACCAGCCATCTACTGTGATTGGTTTTTGATGCATGGTGACAACCCTCAGGGTCCAAGTAATTTGAGGTTTTATTTAATGAATTTTGGAAATGATTGGAAGGGATAGTGCAATCTTTATATTCCTGAGTTGGAATGATTTGACTGGACTTATAGGTTCCTCATTCTTGTCTGTCACCCATGATGTTTTTGAAAATTTGGGATGGTACATGTTTTTTTTTTTTGCCTGACAATATGATGGGTATAGTTTAGAACTTTAAGGACAAGTATGGAGATTATTTTATCCCCAGTTTCATTCCAGTGATCCCACATTTGAAGATTGCATCTCTTAGTTCATGTTTGATGAATCACTTTTCTGAAACTGTTAAAGCTATGCAGGCGCTTCATACGGAGATGCAAGCAAGGTTGTTTGCAGTTTGTGATACTCAAGCCTGTTTTAGTGGTAGTTACATTCATACTTTATGCAAAAGGGAAATATCATGATGGGAATTTCAGTGTGGACCAGTCATACCTTTATCTCACTGTCATCTATACAGTATCGTACTCAGTGGCGCTCTATTCGTTGGCCTTGTTTTATGTGGCGTGCAGAGATTTGCTTCAGCCATTCAATCCAGTTCCAAAATTTATCATAATCAAGTCTGTTGTTTTCTTGACCTATTGGCAGGTAGGATCTTGTCTAATTTTGTCATTATTTTATCACTGAATTGAATTCCTAGCCTTTTCTGAATCCTAATTCTAGAATGGTGCATTCCTTATATCAATGCCCTACTTTCTGGGATTTTATTATTTACAAGAATAATTACATTTTATCCCCTTGAGATTTTTGACAATTAGAGAGACCATTCTTGTGGTTTCTGAAGTTACAGGTCCCTCCTTTTTTGTTTCCTATTATAGTTCTCCTTCCCTGCTATTATTCGACCATTATTTTATTGACTTTAGTGATTAAAGTTTTCTCAATACCAAGATGACACCCTGGCTCTTATTTGATTTCTTGACTAAATAACAATACTATTGTGCCCTTACAAAACTATTCTACAACCAATATCCATGTGGAATCACTACTCACATTATTGTTCAATTTTGTTTTATGTCCAGAGCCAATATATTATCCTTAATTCACACTGTGCTCCAACATGAAACACTATCATCTCCACTTTTAACCATCAATATTTTAGTCTTTGCAGACCCTTTTATCTCCTTAAAGCATCCATCAAGTTCATAGATGATCCAACAAATGGTTGCCACCACCATGACAATGTATTGGAACCGCCATCAATTATCTCTCTATTTCCATCACATCTGCAGAGTTAAACCTGCCACCATGTCCATCTCTTTAGTCAAAATAAATAATATCCTATTTCTTTATGTTTTCTTCGAGTTTCATTTTTCTTCATTCCCTCCCACATGACTTTCTAGAACCTGTTATGTCCATCCATTTCAATTGATCCCTTGTTACTGATAGAAGGAGAAATAAGTGGTAGGGATTATATTATATGATTTGAACCTTTGACATTTTGTATCCACGACAAACTTGCTTCCAGGATGTGCCACACCTATTCAATTAGTCAAGAAGTAATTATTGAATGCAAATGGACCCTTTGTTGAATAAAGGAATTAGATGTTATTAAGAAAATATCATAAAAGAATCATGGAATTTGATAGAAATGGAGAAAGGAATTGATAAAATCTTCCTACAAAAAGGTACTTATATATTATGGGACCTAGCATATTATTTCATAACATGGAATTGAGGACAATGGAAGAAAGCTGCCATGACCTCTTATTATCATCAGTGTTTTTTATCTTTCCATGTTTGTTGACAATTCACATTTCCTCATGATGGACCCCTTGCCACAGTTAGTCAAACCTTGCAGCAACTCTCTGAACACATCAGCATTTTGATGTGTAGTAGATTCAAAACTGACAATTGTGCCCACTGCAATTATTGTCATTATCATATTTCATCTTCATCTTCATCTTCCATAGCTTTTTTGTGGCTGCCACAATGAAAACTGTCTCTATGCCAATTGGTTTTTATTTTCCTCTATTAAATACTCTTGCAACACAAAAGGTGAAGCTAAAAAAAAAAAAAGATAAGAAACGGTCAATTTATTCGTATATAATTCTTCAAACTAGGAAAAGTGTTTCATAACTCTTCATGTTCAGAATATTTTCCAGTTAATATTAGTCATTGTCATGCATGTTTGATGCTTATCTTTGAATGAATCCCTTTGGCAGGAACTTAGGAAGCTTTTTGACAATCTTGATCCATCATTTCAAAAATGATCTGAAACCAAAGAATGATGACACATAGGTACCAACTAACACTCTGGAGAACACATGTTCACATTCATCTCATGATTGAATTGTCTGAGCAAGATTTTTGACTAATACATAGAACCAGTTAATACAGAGGTATAGCAAAAGGGATGAAAATCAGTATTCGTAGTGTTTCTTATTGTAGATGTTATTCTAGGGGACTTCATAAATATGTTTGTGTATTATTTAATATAACAGAGTGATTTACTAGAATGAACAATACATACATGGTTTCTCTAAAAGTCTTAATTGCTCACTAGTTAAAGAAGCTTAAATTACTTTTTGATAGGGTTAGCCAACTATATTTGGTAATGCAAACAAGAAAGCAGGGAGTATGTTGAAAATGGAAGCTATCCTATGTGGATACGTACTTAGCCATCTATTACTTGATTTATGCATAAAAATGAAGCTATTTTTGGTTAGTTAAAATTGAGACTCTTAAAGTTATGGGTTCATGATCTGCACAAAATATTAGAAGTTAGAACTTTGGATCCATATATACATTAAATTGGTTGAATCCACCATAGTTCTTTTTAAAAACATCAAACAAAAAATTATCCCTTTACTTGATCCGATATAAAGGCACAGTGATAGGGAGTATTAGGACTGGTGATTTAGGCAATAATCATTTGATTAATCATGGTAGTCCTTTAGTATGAACCTGCTCTGGCAATGCCCCAATTCTGCCATATGGCTGTTCAATATGAATTTTGGTGTTAATGAACACTGCATACTCCATACAGGAGTTAAAACAGATGACCCTTACATGGAAATAAGGATTGGTGTTGTTGATTAGAAAACTTAAGCTTCTGTACAACTAATTTCCAAAATAATCCATGTTTTTCAACAAGAAAATGGAGTGTGGATGTGAGTTATATAATAGTTCCTTCCCATTCTTAGCACTGAATTTCAGAATTGGATCAATTGTTGTGTATTCTTCACCTATTTATGCTAATCTAGTTAGGTCTTCCAATGTTTGAATGTATTCATATATTTATACTCAAGATAAATGTTTGAAACTAGTTCAAATCACTATACTATTTGCGAGATGGTATCATGCTGCAACTGTCATTGATGGAGAGTCCTCCGAGTGGTTTATAAGATTTTTATTTTTATTTTTTTATTTTCTTTTTTCTGATTTTGAGTACTTTGGGCTGATTCTTCCAAACTAACATTGAGGAGCTCTGGGT